CAACTATTTAATTAAAATATGATTCTCATATTTTTCAATCACCCAATAAGATTTATCATTAAAATACATTTAATAAACCCTCAACGAATTCAACACAATTTTTTTTGGAATTTGTTTTTGGAAATGTTTCTTACCAGTAATTTATTTCTTTAAAAATAGAATTGCAAGAATATCGGTTGAAAGTTGATAAAAAACGTCTTTTTTCATGTTGACTCATAATATCATGTCTCGATATTGATTTCATCATATTAAAAAATAGTGACACTGAGAGGCAAAGTAGAAGTATGAAAATATATTTGAAATATTTCTTATCCAAAATAAAATTCGACGACCTTGGTTTGTTTTCATTGACCCACTTTGTATACATACATGTGCTGGTAAACGTAAAAATCTGAATGATATAAAATTTAGCAGAGGCATGGTTGAAGATATTATTGCAACATCTGCCAACAACTCGCTCATCTTCAGTTTGGAAAAACTTGATGTTAGATACTAGATTTGTAACCACCTGTACATTTATCAGCTCATTTTTATCCTTCGAACAATGAATTATAATGCATTATGCTAAATGTTTTTCTTTCATAAAAACAAACAGGATAGGTTTCGAAAGTACTTATAAGGTACTTATTTTCCAGAACAAGAACTATTAGTTTTCTCTTTACGACGACGGACGTAAACGATTACTTAATTACTTAAAATATTCAATAAAAATTGTCATCAATTAAGGCGAATGATGGCAAAACATAGAAATCGATTGTTTTTAAATCAGTGTCATGTTTTAGATCGCAGCAATAAAAGTATTTCTTTTTGAACACTGATGAATTTACTTCAGTTAGTTGATGATTATTATAAAAACCGAGTTTATTTACCTTACGGCCTCGTTCACTTGGCCAATTGTGAATGTTTTACGATAGATTTCAACAAGGTAAGAAAGACTTTCATAGATTTATTGTGAATACTGTATTGGCAATTGTGGTACTGATGATTCATGGAATAACAAAACCAAGAGATGACTTGTTTATTATTACGCTGCAGTAGTTGTAATAACAGTTGTGACAAAAAGCACGTAGGCTATTGTAGAAAAAAAATCCTCCATGAAATTTCATTTTATTATTCAATATTAAGATTCCTGCAAATGTTGTCCTCGGCTCCGCTTTAGATGGCCCATGCGCAAGGTCCAATTTTGACACACTCTCTCTAACATAACGACCTATATTTCACGTATAAATGCTTCAATATTGGCTTCCAGAGCATCAATCGTTGCTGGTTTATCCCTGTAGACATGAGCCTTAACATGACCCCACAAGGAATAATCCAAAGGCGTTAAATCACACGATCTAGGCGGCCAAATGACGGGTCCCAAACGTGAGATAAACTGTTCACCGAAGGCGGCTCTTAATTGGGCCATTGTTTCGCGTGCAGTGTGGTATGTGGCACCGTCTTGTTGAAACCACATGTCAGGCATGTCAATTTCTTCCATTTTGGGCAACAAAAAGTCGTCAATCGCCACACGGTAGCGGTCCCCATTCACAGTAAGGTTCCGGTTATTTTGTCTTTGAAGAAGTACGGCCCGATGATGCCACCGACCCATAATCCACACCAAACATTGGCTTTTTCGGGATGCATCGGTAGCTCTTGCAATGCTTGTGGCTGGTATTCACTCCACATGCGGCAATGTTTCTTGCTAACGTATTCATTCAACCATAAATGAGCCTCGTTGCTGAACACAATTTATCGATAAAAATGTGGGTCTTCCTCCAACTTTGCCAGCGCCCATTCACCAAATGTTAGACCTTGTTGGGGGTCGGGTGGCTTCAATTCTTCCACCAGATGTATCTCATAAGGTTTTACACCCAAATCCTTTCGCAAAATTTTCCACGTAGTGGAGTAACAGAGGTCCAATTGCTGTGAACGGCGGCGAATCGACATTTCACGGTCATCACGAACACTGGCGGATATAGCCGCAATATTTTCTTCGGTCCTCACTCTACGTATGCGTGTTGGTAGGTAAATGTTCAATAATGTAAAGTGGGTTCGAAATTTAGTCACAAGCTTCCTAATAGCTCCCTCAGTAGACCGACGAAACTGCACATAAATCGGAAGAAGTACACGATGCACTTTCTTCACCGAGTATGAATTTTGATGATAAAATTCAATAATTTGCAAGCGTTGTTCATTCGTAAGTCGATTCATGGTTAAATTATAGACCAAACTGGACAAGTTTGACAATGACACCAGACACGATTCACGCGTGATCTGTCAAAAACAGTGTTGCCAAAAAGATACCGGAAAAAATCACTCATTAGTTGCCTTCGAGGGCAATACAAGCGAGCATTTTGGAGATCTGAAAAGAGGAAAAAGTCGCTGAGTGCCAGATCTGGAAAATACAGTGTACGCTGAAGTATTTTCAAGCTCAATTCAAGCAATTTTGCCATTGTTTCCATTGATTTGTGGCACGGTGCATTGTCTTGATGAAACAGCACTTCCTGTTCCTTCAAATCAGGCCATTTTCCCGCGATTTCGTCTTTTAAGCCCTCCAATAACGCAGTTCAATTGTTGCTGTTGATGGTTTTCCCTTTTCAAGAAAGTCGATGAATATTATATCATGCGCATCCCAAAATTCTGATATCACAACCTTGCCAGCCGACTGTTGCGTCTTTGCACGCTTTGGAATCGGTTCACCACGTGTAATCCATTCAGATGACGATCGTTTAGAATCTGGAATAATGGAATAAACTGATGGAGCCATGTTTCATCCATTGTCACATATCGATCCATAAATTCGGGTTTTTTATAGTGGAACAGCTTCAAACACTGCTCAGAATCATCAATTCGTTGTTGTTTTTGGTTGATTGTGATCTCGCGCAGCACCCACTTTGAATTGTCCGAATAACTAGATGAAAGACTTATGTACCGAGTCTGCTAAATTTACTAGTTGATACCATATAAAACTTCCTACATAAAAAATATGATTAAACCTCGTATAATATACCACACCGCACATGCAATACAAAGAAACTGCCGACTTTCGGTAAATATTCAGTTTTGGAAAAACTTTCGCGGCCGAGGTTTTCAGTGTCACTATATTCTGGGTTTGAAGGCCGTTAATTTTTTGAATTATTTTCTGATATTTCGCTGTTGCTAGTGATCAGCTTCATACATCCTGTATGAACCTTCATACATCAGGTTCATACATCCTGATTTAATATCTTCGATGACTGGATATTACGGCTCCGTAACGCGTATTTATGGTGACTCCTCTGTCTGGTGTGATAATACCTGTACCAGGATTTGATAACATGCCAATAACCTGCCGTCATTCTTGTACTTCTTAAATGGGATTCCACACTCGATTGATGTTCACAGCTTCTTTTTTTCTGTTGAAATCATCAGTATGCTCGTGGATTTCTAATGCCTTCCATAGAAGTCGACAATGAGCACCTTCCCACAAGTGCACGGTATGAGATAACCCGCTGCTGCTGATAGTAGGTCTCTTTTGTCTTTAACCGACCTAAAGCTTTGTTGTATCTTCTTGGTGGATATGAAAACCGTTTTAATGTTGTGTTTACCCAAGAGTTCTCCAGTTCTGTCTGTGACCCTAGGAACATGAGGTAGTTACGCGTGTGCAGCCATCTGAACCTGTCTCCCATTTTGAGCAGTAGAAGTCATTTGAAGATGTGTCAGTTCTTCCCCCAGTGCCTTTGGTCCACATATTTTTAAGCTTGTTTCATTAGAGTGGAGATGACTCCTCTCTTTTGACTAGGGTGGTGGTTCAATAGTGCGTGCAGGTACCTATCCGTGTGGGTTAGTCTAGCATCACATGCTAGCAAAGCTATCCGCTGCTCCTGTTCAGTCCCCATGGCGTACTTGATGTTTGGGTGTTGAGTTCAAGTGGTCTAGCAAAAGGTTCAGAGTGTCCCTTTCATGTTTTCAGATGACGAAGGTGTCATCTGTCATCAATGAATTTCTCCGACCACAAACACTTTTCAATTTGGAGTTGATCACGAATAAGTTTTGAATACAATCACAACCGCCCAATGAAGGAAAACTCGTGAATACTTGATGAAAAAATCTTCTAGACCATTTTTTTCTACCTTCACCATGGCTGGACATTTGTGTCAACTGATGTTTGATGTTCTTTTATAGATCATCTTTATACAAAAAAATGTGAGAAACTTCTCGAAGAAAATAAGGGAAAAAAGAAAAAACGCGTTTTTTTCCAAGATAACTAATCTCTCATGAAAAATATCTCCTCTTTCAATCAGCGTGTATTTGTGAAATGATTGAGTTTCGTTATTACATCTTTCAATTCAGTCTGGAATAAAAAATCAATATGAAGCATTATTTTTTAATGTTAATGTCTCAAACGTTCTTCTCCATCACCATCAATATGTTTTTGTTACTAATAATTTTTGATGATCAAAGTTTTCGTGATGATAGCTCAAGATGATGAATATTTTCAAATCTAACTCGCCCTGTCCGTCAATATAAAGTCTTTAGAATTATTCACTTCAAGATGGCAAAAACTCACATACCTCCATTATTGAAAATATGACTACCTCTTAACTCGTAAAGTAGAATCTATTTTTATTTTAATAATTCACGCCGAAACTTTTTCTCTTACTCAAATAATGGAATTCATGAATTTATTTAATAACTGAGAATTAACAAATTGTTAATGGTTTCAATTTATGAATATAGTTGTTTCTCAATTTATTTTCATTTTGGTAGAAAGTACGTATCCATCTATTATAATCTGCAGAATTCATTCTAATAGCAAAATTTTTGTTATAACTTATACTCATGTATGAAATACTTGTTTGTTGAGGAATGTTGCTTTCATGAAATTTCACTTTATCTTACCTGGTATTTCAAAACACTGCTGTAGATGTGGGTTATTACAATAAGTTTGAAATTGTATATACACCTGGTAATTATTGCACTACTAAATATATTTTTCGTAGAAAATACTACATGATTATATTATATCAAAGTCAAAATAATATTTCACCACTTTTTATTGATATAGAACGAAGCAACAATAACAATAGAGAGAACATAATTAAAACTAACAGAATTTAGTCGAATCACATTTTGTTCGATGACCTTAATGTCCACCCTTCTTGTAGCCCCATTTCTTGTGGTCTTCGTGTCCGCCTTTCTTTCCGTATTTGGAGTCGTGGTGATAGTGGTCATCGTGTCCGGCAGCTTTCTTGTGTCCTGCTTCCTCATGGTAGTGGTCACCTTTCTCGTGATGGCCTTTCTTTCCGTAGTGGTCTTCGTGGTGTCCTCCTTTCTTGTGTCCTCCCTTCTTGTGGCCTCCCTTTTTGTATCCATCTTCGTGGTGGTATCCTCCGTGTTTCTCGTGGTGACCGGAGTCGTGGTCTTCATCGAAGAAGTGTTTTTCCTTCTTGTATTCGTCGAGTTTGTGTACATCGTGTCCTCCCTTGGTGCTGTGCCCCTTCTTGTATGATCCTTTCTCTCCGAATTTATGACCTTTCTCTCCTTTCTCTCCCTTGTGGTGCTCAGCGTGGTAGCCATCATCGTGGTGGTGCTTCTTCTTGTGACCTCCGTGTTCTTCGAAGTGCTTTTTGTGACCTTCTTTGTCGTGGTGGCCTTTTTCTCCCTTCTCGTGGTGGTGGTGTCCTTTGTAACCCTTGTCACCCTTCTCACCGTGGCTGCTGTGGTGGTCAGCATGATGTTCGTGGCCGCCTCCCTTTTTCCAGTGGTGTCCAGATGCAGCGGCTTCCAAGTCACTAACTTCGCGTTTGTCTCTCGATATTTCACGAGCTTGAGTTAACGAAACTCCGACTAAGGCCACTAGGGCAAGCACACAAAGCCCTTTGTAGGTATTCATGTTGAAGTGAATACTGAGATGAATGAGTTGATACTGGTTTGTTGGTAGCGGTTTTCGCTTTTATATGATTTTCAGCCGGTTTTTGTCCAAGTGTTCAGTGAAATGGACGATCTGTAATCGCAAATCGTTGGCAAATTATCTATTGCATCCTGTGGTAGACTTTCACTATTGTTGTTTTTTCTTAGTGATGTAATTCCAACAATCGGGCTAGCTCAAAATTTACTAATAATTTATCACTTGAACGGTTCGCGTTTTTTGTCTAGTTGCATTAGCCTATTTCATTTTCATAATCATCGATTTAGATTTGGAAGCTGATGCAGGTTTACTAGGTGATAGTCGGTAACAGCGTTGCAAATCGACGTTAATTATCAAAATGTCTGAGAATACCATCGAAATATGTCTAGTAAGATATTTTCTATTAGAACAAGTATTTTAGTTGTGAATATCTGGTTTGTTTCTTCATTATACATTTTTTGTTTCAGGTGAGTTCAACTGCGTTTTGATGAAAATCTTCTACAAACCAGGTATGATTTTGAAAAATATGTTCATAATTTATTTTGTTAGAGTATTTAAAAAAGATAACCGGGGTATAGTCAGTCCAAGTTTCATTTCGTTATTAACAAAATATGAGTTATTTCTGCTCAAAATTTAACCGTATCCATTAAATTGAACCATTTTTTATTTTCCTTTCTTTCCATCACATAGACGCAGTTATTGAAATCAAATTTTCATGTTTGTCTTCTGAAATAATTCCAGATATCTACGTGAATATACAGGGTGTTCCTTAAACACATGCTAATATTTGAGGAGGTAATTTTTAGACCCATTTTAAGGAAAAAACGTCCTATGGACATATGTCCTAAACGCCTTAACTTTTGCGATACAGGGTGGCAAAGTTTTCAAAAATAATCAGTTTTTTAATAATAACTGAGATAATTTTGTAGACATCTTTGGCATATTTGGTACATATGTTCCATGCCTCAAGGCGCATTTTCTGATGTACAATTTTCTTAATTTTCTTTGCCAGTGGCGTCCGTACGAGTTTTGAAATGTATATTTTTGGTGAAAAAAATACTACGCCACTNCACTGTTTGAAAAAATTAAGAAAAATGTACATCAGAAAATGCGCCTTGAGGCATGGAACATATGTACCAAATATGCCAAAGATGTCTACAAAATTATCTCAGTTATTATTAAAAAACTGATTATTTTTGAAAACTTTGCCACCCTGTATCTCAAACGTTAAGGCGTTTTGGACATACGTCCATAGGAAGTTTTTTTCTTAAAATGGGTCCAAGAATTACCTCCTTAAATATTAGTATGTGTTTAAGGAACACCCTGCATTTGTGATTTATCGTAATTTGTGGAAAAAAATTACGAAATCAGTTCAAACTTACAAAAAATTCAATGAAAATAATCTACATCTGAAATTATGTCATTGATTGGAACAATGGTGGCAAATAAATTGCCCTAGAAAATTTCCTGAAACTATTCGAAATAACGTCCGTATTTAAAAAAAACTAAAGTTGATGATGAAATGTAATGAACGAAACGTAATTGGTTCATATCAGATTATAATGAATATGAAATAGTATTGACAGTTTCTCTGCCTTTTTTATCATTCTAAATGGAGGTGATAGAGCCAGAAACGAATTCTACAATTCTAGTTTTTTGCCGAATATTTCATAAACAACCACTAATATTCCTGACCTGAAAAGGTACTATTCTAATTCCACAAAGTAGGAAACTTTCGTCTGATTCAACCAACCTTGTAGGTCTTACCGTTTCCGAAATAGCAATAGTGGAATTAGCTAAAAACAGCCTGTATATTAATAAATTCATGGATGTAACCGTTACTACGTGGTAGGAAATCATAATGAAGAAAAGAGTAATGACACTTTCTATGTTTTTTGCCACTTTTATTTGTAAAACTGCAATTTCGTCCTAAACGGACATTATACTTATATATAAGTTTGAAAATGTCACTTTTATATAAGTTATATATTATTTTGAAAATGTCCGTATAGGACAAAACTGTAGTAACGTTGGTTACAAATAAAAGTGGTGGAACACATGGAAAGTTTCATTTCTTTTTTCTTCATTATGATTTCCTACCACGTAGTAACGGTTACATCCATGAATTTATTAATATACAGACTGTTTTCAGCTAATTCCACTAATATAATTCCATTAATAAATGAAACAAGTGAACAGCCTTGACTCTAACAAGGGGGAGGCAAGTTTCCGAAGTATTGCGATCGCGTTTCGGAAAATTTTCACTCTATTGAAAATGAGTGATATATTGAGTTGTCCTCAATACAATACAAAAATACTCTCATGTGATTTTGTAGATTGTGTACCGTATAAAACACGAATCATATGTTTGTGAGCAAAATATATACAGGGCTTTTCATGATGAGCGTTAATTAGCCGTTTCTGGCAAACTATTTAACGGATCAACCTGAAAATTCCACAGTATGCATAAGTCAATATGACCTACACGCCTAAAATATTTTAGACGAAGCGGCGTTGTCGCTTCTACTATAAAGTAGCGGCTTCTTTGATTTTTCAAATGGAACACCCTGTATATAATATCATATTATGATTCATTATCACTTCGTCAACAAATTCATATACTATTTCCCTATACCTATCTATAACCGTTTAGAAGATATAAATTAATTTCCATATTTTTTTTACCAAACATGAACTTTTATAAATGCTGATAATCTTGAACTCTCTTGCACTAAAACGATCAAATTTGAAATGGAGTGGAGTGATACTATGAGGATCTTCACTCCGAGTCATATTTTCATTTGTCTCATACAGGGTCTTCAAAAAATGCAGATACTTTGATCTCATGAAAAAATGAGTGGAACTCAATTTTTTCAAATGGAACACCCTGTATATTTCAAAATTTTTGAGCTCTACATTCAATTTTAGATCAACTTTGTTCAGATAATACTATTTCTATTTTGAACCGTTTTCGAGATAAACTGTTTCAAACGGAAATTGACATGGTTTCCCTGTTCATCACCCATTTTTGTAAAACAGATTTCGTTTGATGTTTCTCAATTAGTCACAGAAAAATCGAAGAAAGGTAGGAGATTTGTCTTTCTTTTATAGATACTTTTACGGGCGGTGTTCAAGTGACTTGGCACATTTGATTTCACCAAGAGCGGTACGTATTAGAAATACGCGACATACTGTGGCTGCTCATCGTATTGAGGTTCAACTCAGTACACCTCGAATTTCACTGTTTGAGAAATCTTTCATTTGGAATAAACTTCCTAAGAACGTTTTTCTGGGTGAATTCAATCTTTCGCACAGGTACCTCTCTTAAGCCTCAAATATTTTCCTGTAGTGCTTGTATTCTGCCCTTATAAAAAAAGGAAAAACTTTAATTGTGACGATAATAATGTGTTTGAGGAAATTATGAAGTTAGTACTATTGAAAAAGTGGCCTTACTTGTTTCTTTGTGCTTGTATTAGTACTTAAATGAAATGAATAAAAGAACACTTTTGTCTAAATACCACTAGTAGATTTTATTTATACGACCGGTTTCGGATTTGACCCCATTAACAAGTATAAAATTGAAATATGAAGTTTGAAATATCGGTTATATTAGACTTTTCATGTATGCTGCAAGGACAGGTATTTGAGAGACAGGTAGTTGGGCGAACCAATATACCAACTTTTAAAATTCCACACTAAAAATTGTGGGGGTTGTTAATCCCATAAATTCAAGAGAGGAAACCTACATGAATTGAGTTGCTCGTTTAGGGGTATATGTTTCATGTTTTCAACAAATTAATTTTTCTCCTTTTATTACATATGTATAGGATTTTGAGATTATCTTCATTTATCTTGTGGTTTGCAGATTTTTTGTCCAAACAGACGTGTTCACGCAGTCTTATGTCAAAATTTCTACCGGTTTGGCCTATATTTATTAGTATTTTCAAGGAATGGAAAAAAGTGTTCTTTCGAATATACTGGGAAAGTGCAGAGCAAAAATAGAGGCATATGTTTTTGTTCCGTCCCTGTTCGGAAGTCACACTTGAACGGAAATGATTCATCAAAATGGTAGTACTTCTTCTATAGTTGAAGACACTGTTTATACGGGAGTCAATAATTGCCTCCATATACTTCTCTTGGGTGGTCTAACAAGTTTGTCACTGAAGTAACATGATTTTCACAGTTGTTATCTTTTGTTATCTCCTAAAAAAGGAGTCATAAAATGAAGAGAAATGATTGTTATTGTGTTAATGGCTAGGCGAAATGGGTGCTTTGGGAGCGAAGGGTAATTTAATTTCAAACCATTACGCGTCCAAGCTATTCATTAGTGTCGTGATTCATTACTGAATCGTTTGAAACTAACCAAATCACCACCACACCAATTTTGAGGGTATTATAACAATAATACGTATCTATGTAATTCACTGAAACATTATTTTATTTCGGCCATCGGAAGATATTGAGAATTTTATGTACATGAAAGTAATGAAAACATGCGTCATAAAACAAAACTTGAGAGCGCTGACATACAATTTATCCTTGCTCTTCATGTATTGTTTTTTGTTAGCATTGCCTGCCATTTTAGTAAAATATTCTACAGATATCAAAATAACACTTCAATCAACTGTCCTGAATGTACCAAACAAAGTTTTTATCGCTAAGGGGGCCAATGTCCTCCACGGAATTGTAAATATCTAATTGTCTTACTGAATGACCTTGAATTCATTTCAAGTCAACACATTTTTTGTGATTTGAAAGATAAATGGAGAGATAGGCGAAATGAGTTTCGAAGAGTGAAGGATATTGAAGAAATATTACTGAAGATAAATTATGTGATTTATTTTACGGGGCAAACGAGATCCGGCTCGAAGGACCAAATGTTTTTTATTAAACGTAAAAACAAGGTGAAAATCGATTTTGCGAATCGATGGAAAACAAGCTGGGAATGCACTGACCTTTACTCCGTGATCTGCAGATTGCAGCTGCAAAATTCCATTGTTGTTTCCAAGCGGTGTGGGCTGTATGCGGTATATCTCCTGCCAGTTTATCACTATAAACTTTGTAAAAAAAGG